TGGTTGTTTTCTAATTCTTTGGACTTAAATCTACATGAACTAGAATACTACATTCATAGTATTGAACCTATCCCTTTTGCACATCAAATCCCTTCATTTCCTATTAGCAAGAACAATGTACTTCAGTTTCTTCAACCTGGAAGTAAAGATGCAGAAGAAAGAAAATACATTCCTGAATACATGCCACCTATCATGTCTTCTCAAGAAGAAGAGCAGGTACCCACTGATGGGGTACACCAAGCAGAAACCATGCACGTACCCTTAAAAGAAGATTGATGAATTAGGGAAGGAGAAAATTATTAATTATGAAAATTTGGGGGTAAGACTCTTGGACAATCTTAAAGCTGAAGAAATTCTTGCAATGAAGCAAACACAACTGTTAAGCACTAAAGGAGACACCCTAAATGTAGTATTATTGGAAGTTTGAGAACCACTCAACTCAATAAACACACAAAGATCCCACCAATGTTTTCTCCTGTCCATGTACAGGAGTGTACAGACCTCACAACTCTAACACCAGAGCCACCAATGTTTGCTCCAGCCGCAAAATAACAAATACCACCAGCAAAGTCATTAGAAACTGTTGAGATCCACAGCCAAAGGGGCCTCAGCAAACTTCCAGCTGCCAGCTGATGATTGGCTCACAGCAGCCCCAGCAAACTTCCAGCTAAATGCCGCAGTCTGGCTGGGCACAATTCACGAGCCACTTATCAAGGAGAAACAAACTTTATTTTTAGAACACACACACTGCACCACAGGAGCTCTTCAGGAATTCCCTCAGAGCCCAACTGCCACCACCAGCTTCCCACGAGCCTCTCAACCCCCCCACTCCTCCTGCTCTTGAGGCCGATTGGCTGGGTCACATGGGCGGAGCCAAAAGAGTCCCCCAATGAGCAGCTCCATGGTCTGAAAGGGCGGGGAAACCGCCCAATGAGCATCACCACAGAGGAGCCAATCAGCTGGCAGCTGGAAGTTTGCTGGGGCTGCTGTGAGCCAATCATCAGCTGGCAACTGGAAGTTTGCTGGGGCCCCTTCGGCTGTGGTTCTCAACAAGAAACAAAGTCAATTACAACTAAAACTAGATCTCCAGGACAGAAGACTGAATAACCTAAAACTAACCAGTCACCAGCAACGGTTGAAAGTACTATTCAGTCACCAAAAACTATATCCAAAGAAAGAAATCAGCTGGATGTTCTAAGATCCTCAAAAGCCCCAAGATTATGTCTCATATTCCCTAAGCATCTGTCAGACCTAAAACACCAAATAGGACTACTTCAGCTACAATAAGTGAAAAAAATTAGTAAAGAGATATTCCAGGTGGAACAAATAGTCTCCCCTTGATGCTGAACAATGGGACTCAGCCAAGAAAGGCCGTCCTAACACATAAAATGATCACATTGATGCTGCGATTGCACAACTCTGAATGGGAGCCGAATCCTTTCAGATTTTATTCTGGATCAGAATTCCAAACAATCCCTAAGAGAATTTCAGGTTTGGAATACAGCACTCCAAAAGGTTTCACTCATTCAAAAATTTCACAAAGTCAAGATCCACTCCTTTGCTACTTTCAGGAGACAAGGAAGGCAGCATGAGTGGGATCTACACTGCCACAGTCCAGATAACTGATATAGACAATGAATGCCTTACACTGAAGGCGAAACTGGGAAGATGTTTCAGTATGCCTCCCACCTTTCCTTCCATCGCTTCTCCTTCAGTTTTCTCCTCCCACTTCTAAACCACTCCACAATGTGTATGAGAAAACCAAGCGGCCTTCATCCGTGGAGGTAAAGAAGCTGATAAAAGAACAGAAGACTAAATTGAAAAAAAAAGACAGAAAAGCAGAAAGCTAAGGAGAGGGCCTGTAAGTTTAAAACAAAAGAATGAGAAGACGCAGATGCAAACATGAGATTGAAAGATAAAATTGTGAGGAAGGAGAAAGAGAAGCACAAAGATAAGAAGAAAAGTAGATAAAAAGGCAATAAAGATAAGAGAGAAAAAGAGAAAATTAAAGGTAGAGAAGAAAAGATGAAGGATCCACCAAAACTGATGGTATTGCCCCCAAAAGAAATGACCGCCCAAGTCAACCCCACTGAGTATGGGTCCCACTCATGCTGCCTTCCTTGTCACAAGTACTCCAAAAACAACTGTGGAGAAAGAAAAGCCTAAAGAGAAAGAAAAGATTTTTTAAAAACTAAAAAAAAGACAAAAAGAGAAAGAAAGGGAAGAAAGTAGAAGGAAGGGGAGAGAGAGGTGAGAGAGAAGAGAGAAAACAAAAGAAGCAAGCAGAAAAAAACATAAAAAGCGAACCAGTTGTTTCCACCACAAGTCCAGTTATCCCCAGACTGACTCTGAGAGTTGGCTCTGACCAAGACAAGATTGTCAACAGCAAGAGTGGTTCCAGCCCCAAGGCTAAGTCAGTCCATTCTCTGAAAAGATCTAAAGTCCCCACTGCCAACGCCAGCCTCCATACCCTTGCAAGCGAGCCCTACAGCCCGGACACTGCCATTGCTCTGCCAGGTCAGAGCATTACCAGTTCTGATGCCATCTCCATCCCCTGCCATCCCTGGAGCTGGAAGCTCCAAAGCCCCTGTGCGGAGTGTGGTGACTGATGACTAAGACAGCACTTGTGTGTCCCAGATGAGTGGGGCACTCAGATCTGGATCTGTCCTGATGTAACAAACCTGATGGGAGTCCAATGACCGGCCATGAGGACTAGTACCACGGACCCTGTGTTGGAATAATGGCTCCACCTGATGTGTTCCAGCAAGAAGAAAGAAGAAGCACTGAGCACCCTGACATCTCCATGTGAGCGGGAGTAAGCAGTGCCAGCTTGGGCCTCTTCCCTGGCACCTCTAGAGGGGAGCTGGTGTGGCTCTGCATCACGTCTCCCCTGAGTCCATCTGGACAGTGCATTTGGGAGGACTGAAGACAGGAACACTCCATCCACTCTGGATTTTCTCTTCCGAAATCCACTGGCCTATGATTCCATGGTGGTGTGATTGACAAAAACCCTAGTAGAGGCATGTCCTAAGAGCTGCCTACCTCCATTTTTCAATTACCAGTGACAAGTATTATTAATTTAAAAAACAAAGACCATACATCCTCCCTTTTGATTTTCTTCATTACCTCCAGGGCCTTCTGATTAAGGTATTAGATGATAATGGGTAGACTACCTTGACTATAATTGAAGGATGTTATCATTAGTCTGTATACAGTTTTCCTTTCCCTTAATAATAATAATAATAACTCCATCACATTTTTGTGATGAGAATAGATGAAGCCTTCCCCCCAAACCCCATTTTTATTGCTAACATTGATGCAGCTACCAGAAAATCCCCTCTACCAAAGTCATAATTAAGCTTCTCCAGGAACCTTCCTCACAATTAAGCTTCTTGTCAGCAAGATTTTACAAACACTGTCAACAGGATTTCACAGGAGCTCTCTGCAAACAGCTAAATGTGGTTTGAAGCTTCTTCTTACTTGTAAAGACCAGGTTCCTCTTTCTTTTAAAAGCCAAGTCTGCCATCAAACCTTTTGCTATACAAAAGTTACTATTCTGTCTTCTTGGTAAAAACTTATGAAACCTCTGTGTAGCCTAAGAATACAGAAGTACAAATAAACCTGCTTCCTGAAAATTCCTTGGGTGCCCAGGCTCATCTGTTCTAAATTAACATGTAAAGTGTTCAGGCTTTTGTAAAATACCTTATGTTTTGGGGGGTGGGGGGCATTGGGGATTGAACTCAGGGGCACTCAACCATGAGCCACAACCCCAGGCCTATTTTTGTATTTTATTTAGAGACAGGATCTCACTGAGTTATTTAGCACCTCGCTTTTGCTGAGGCTGTCTTTGAACTCGTGATCCTCCTGTCTCAGCCTCTCAAGTCCCTGGGACTACAGGCGTCCAATATGTTTTGTTTAACATATTTTTTTTATTGTTGGTCGTTCAAAACATTACACAGTTCTTAATACATCATCTTTCACAGTTTGATTCAAGTGGGTTATGAACTCCCAACTTTACCCCGTATACAAATTGCTATATCATGTTTAACATATTTTTAATATCTCTGTTGCTAATGTTCTAATTTTGCCCTTTAAACTGAAACCTCTTCTCACTGCTTGTACATTTTATTAATTTGTATAAAAGCTCTTTATACTAAAAAAAAACCCTAATGTAAATAATAAATGTCTATGAAGTAGTTTTTAATTTTGCATTGTGTTTTAATTCTGACTTCCTCTTAAATCCACTGTGATTTCGGCCTTGTCTGTAATTACAGCTCTATGTAAGCAAAGATTAGAGTAAAAGAGCCATAGTTCACAGTAACTTTCTTTGGGCTAAATGGATCTGTGCAGTGTCCAAAACATTGTGGGGGGGGGGAGGACACTAGCAGTTGTAAGGAAAACGAAGCAATTTAAATCTAGGGTTTATGATTTGAAATGGTTTTGCTTATCTGTTTTGTTTTTATATATTTCTTTGACTTTTATGCAAAAGATGGGTAGGTTCCATTAAAGGAAGAGAGAGACAGAGAGAGAGAAAGAGAGACAGAGAGTCAGAGACTGACACCCATTGGACCCTGCATATAAAACTGTGGCTCTGGGTTAACCCAATTTGGGAACAACCTTAGGTATCCCATTTGGCATGACACCCATGGGAATGTGGTAGGGGAACTCTTCCCCAAGTCAAACATCAGCACTCTGAGCCCTCAGGTTGCACTGAAAGCAATGGAAATATGCTTGAGTTAAGATGCCAGCAGGCTACTTGCACAGCCCTGTGAGGATTGGACTAAATGTATACATTTGGAGATTTCTGTGGGCCCAGGAATAGGACCCAGTTACTGAAAGCTACAAATTCCTGAGCAAGCCAGAGGTCTACCCTTTGCTGGATCTAAAAAGCCCTGCCTGATTGGTGGACCTGTAAATGACCTCGAGTACATACACCTGGGAACCAGATGTTTTAGTCTCCTCCTCTACCTTCTGGAGGACCACTGAAAACAAGAGATGGGTTCAGTAAGCCAAAGCAGGTTTATTTGTACGTGTTTTCCATATTCTTAGGCTACACAGAGGTTTAACAAGTTTTTACCAAGAAAATCCCCTCCACCAAAATTTTTCTGGAATTATATTTGATCACTGAACAATCAAATATAATTCCAGATGAGAGGAAGAGTACTGAGCCTATCCCCACAAGCAGATAGATGATAAGTGTGGCTAATTCAGACACAACTTATTGGGCAAGGAGCACGTGGCAAAAATGATGTGGGGAAGGAGGCAAACTGCACATACAAGGTGATAACTGGGTATAGGCCAAGAACATAGTCAGTCCAGAAACTTTAACAGCGCTGCAAAGTTTAGAGGTGTCTCTCAGCTGAAACCTCACTGGTCTCCACAAAAATCATAAATATTCATATAAATGTTGTATAAATTTTTATATAAATCTATATGCAAAGATACATTTAGGAACATAATAAGCATACATACAACCAGATAAAAATGTATAGATTAAAATTGAGAGATTAACTCATGTACATATATACCTTTCCTTGGCAGTCTGGAGTGTTTTAACATAGCAATTACAAGAAAGGCCATCAATACACTTTATTATGGAATCATGCATGCATGGAGAAACAAATGTATCTTTCTAACATATAAGTAAATGTACATATAAAAACATCAATTTATTAAGAAATATATAAATTCATAGTTGTGTACATATGTGATATAAATATAACCCAAGGAAAACACATACAATCTGACATGACCACATTCCTCCATTCATACCAGGGTGCAGCAAGGCCCCTCATGGAATACTGGTAGCAAATTCTAGAAGAGTCCCTTACCTGAGCCTTAGGAGGCCTTCATCTGTTGGCAATACACTAGGCAGTACCCTTTTACCAGGACCAACCCAAGTCCTGTCATTCTCAATAAGGAGCCTACTTCACTTCCCCAAACTATTGATCAGGGTTTTTAAAAAAAAGTCTTTGAAACATCCATGGTGGTCCCATACAGTGGGTTTCCCATGTGGATGTGTACAGCAGGAGAATATTAGCTTGGTTGTACATTACCCAATTCTGAGCCCTTGGGTCATGCTGAAGGCACTAAGAACATGCATGAGTTAAGACAGCACCAAACTGGAGGGAGAGCTCTGCATGACTGACTGCTCTGTGATTGTCTGGAGCTATCTCAGGGCCTGGGAAAAGATCCCAAATTCTGAAGGCCAAACATTCCTAGGAAAACTGATTCTTGTCATCCCTTGATGGACCTAGAAAACCCTAACTACCTAGCAGACCTGAATATGACCTTGATTAGAGACAACAAGGGATCCAGGTGCCTTAGCTGCTTCTTCTACTTTTTTGTAGGAACACCAAAAACATGGGTTTGTTTTCAGTAAGCCAGACTTTCTGGCCAACAGATATTATGCTTCATTACCTGTTATAGGTGGTATTTGGCTGAGGGCAAACACCAGAATGGTTCCTTTTAAGCAGTCTCAAGTGCAAATGTGGGTGGGGAACTGGCTTCTCTTCCCAGAACTGTCCATCTGGATGAGGATATATTTGGAATATTCAAGGGGGTATCATGAAAGGGGATCCCTAATAGGTGGTACTACTTGTTCTCTCAAGCAAAGTGAAGTTTGACTTTGTAGGCTCTCCCACACTCCTTGCACACAAAAGGCTCCTCCCCAGAGTATCTTCAAGTGCTTATTATAATATGACTTATCCCTAAACCTTCACCCACACTTCTGGAACACTTCTACTGAGATGTCTCTTAGGTCTTCAGAGCTAGGCTGAGACCTGTATGGCCTCCTCAACAAAAGAAGCCGTGTTTACACATATGTACATATACAAAGATATATATTTACAGAACACATATAAACATATATAGAACTATTTAAATGTGTATAAACAGTAATTTATTCATAGACACTAACAGAAGAAGTTATTTTGTTTCAAGGTTTCTAGGTTCAATCCATGGTCGGTTTACTCCATAGCTCTGAGCCCAACATGAGACTGAAGATCAGGGCAGAAGAGTATGGTGGAGGACAGCAGCTCAGGGCATGGCAACCAGGAAACAGAAAGAGAGGTCTGCTCACTGGGGGCAAAATATAAATCCCAAAATCATGCCCTCAGTGACCTACTTCCCCTAGCCACACCTTATCTGCCTATGTTTACCACCCAGGTAATCCATATCAGTGAATAAATCCACTGATTAGGTTATGTCTCTGATAACCTAATCACTTCACCTCTGTGTTATCTCACACAAGTTTTGGGGGTCACCTCATACTAAACCATAACACCTGGTTTTGAAATCACAGTAATGTTGTTCTAGAATGAGTCTGAAGGAGTCAACTCTTGAATCTGGAGGGCCAGTCAATTTTCTTGAAGAACTGATATTACTTCTTCTTCTTAAAAGTTCGATGTAATTCAGCAGCAAAACCATCTGTTCCTGGGCTTTTCTTTGTAAAAAGATATTTTCATATTCTATTCTGTTGCTCATCATTGACTTGTTTCTTCCTGGCTCAATGAAAAGAATGAAGGAACCAAGGATATGCAAAATAAGTGAAAACAGAATGCAGTACATTGTTACCTATTAGTAATAATCTTGAATGTGAACACTAAACCCCCCAACCTAAAGATATAGACTAGACAAATGGATTAAAAATAAAAAATTAATAAAAGCCAATGAGATACTGCCTGGTAAAAACACAAAGTGAAGGGATAGAAAAAATATATCATGCTACATTATATGTGTCCAAGAATTTATCCATTTCTTCTAGGTTTTCCATTTGTGGGTTTCTTATTCGTGATAATGTCCCTAATGATCTTTTGAGTATTTTCTCTGATTTCATTTGGGTCTTCTCTCTGTTTTTGTTGTTGTTGTTAGTTTAGTTTTGTTCTGTTTTTTATTCTAGCAAAAGTTTTAAAGATTGTTCTCAGTAAGAAAGAGACCATATTTCCCCATGAAGTCAGGTAATTCCCTCACCTCACCTGGCACCTCTGTTCTCCAATCCTTGACCTCTTAGAATTGCTTGGGGAGGCTTGAGTCACATTTAAATTGTCTGTAGCAGTGTAGGTCTGTTTTACCTTCAGGATAGACCCATGAACAAGTGATCTATATATCAGCTACAGCTTTGTAATGAAGCAGTTATTCCCTTGAGTGAGTCTTCTGGTGTATAGTGAGATATGACTTCAAGCTGAAGCAACAACACACTCCTTGCACAAAAAAACGCTCCTCTGATTAAGTGTGCCTTCAAGTGCTTATTATAGGTGGACTTGCTGTTAAACCTTTGCTCACACTCCGGGCACACATAAGGCAACTCTCCTGAGCATGTTCTTTAGTGTATGATGTGGCTTGAATTACTGCCATAGGGTTACCAACACATTGCTCACAAAACATTTCTCCCCTGAGTGTCCCCTGGTGTTTCACAAGGTTGGACTTCTAGATAAATCCTTGCCCACTTTCATCACAAAGGGCTTCTCCCCAGACTGTGTCCTCTGGTGTCTAAGGAGATTTTCCTCCAAACTAAAACTCTGCCCACAATGCTGGCATACAAAAGGCTTCTCATCTGAGTGTGTCCTCTGATTTCTAACAAGGTGTGACTGATTGCTAAAGGTTTGTCTGCCCTCCTGACTTCCATGTAGCCTCTCTCTCAATGTGTTCTCTCAAGCAAAGTGAAGTTTGACTTATGGGTGTAGACTCTCCCACACTCCTTGCACACAAAAGGCTTCTCCCCAGAGTGTCTTCAAGTGCTTATTTTAATATGACTTATCCCTAAACCTTCACCCACACTTCCGGCACCCATAAGGTTTCTCTCCTAAGTGTGTTCTCATGCACAGCAAGGCATACCTTGACTCACTGGTATACACTTGCCCACACTCCTTGCACACAAAAGGCTTCTCCCCTTGAGTGTGTCCTCTTATGTCTGAGGAGATCTGCATTCTTGCTGAAGCCTCGCCCATACTCTTTGCACACAAAGGGCTCGTTATGATTTGAATGTGATATGTCCTCCAGAAGCTCAAGTATGAAACAATGCAAAAAGTTTCAGAGGAGAAATAATTAGGTTGTGACAGCCTTAACCCAATCAGTGAATTAATCCCCTTACAGGATTAACTGAGAAGTAACTGAAGCACATAAGGTGTGGCTAGAGGAGGTGGGTCAGTGGGGGCATCCTTTTGGGGTACGTATTTTGTATCTAGCAAGTGGAGTCTCTCTGCTTCCTAATCATCATGGGAGCCACTTCCCTCCACCACACTCTTCTGCCATGATGTTCAGCCTCACCTCGAGCCCCGAGGAATGAAGCCAGCTGTCTATGGACTGAGACCTCTGAAACCATAAGCTCCCAAATAAACTTTTCCTCCTTTACAAGGTTTGGGTTTTTTTGTTTGCTTTTCATTTTTTGGTTTTGTTTTTGCTTTTTTTTTCCTGGGCAAGTGAGATTTTACCTTGTCATTACTCAGATGATCCAGGACACAGAGCTTATGAAGTCCCACATCCTTCTCTTAACAGCCCAACTGAAGCTAAAAGAAAAAAAGGAGGGGTGGGGCTGTTTTATTTGACACAGGTTTGTTTTCTGGTGCATTCACTATCCCAATTCTGGGCTGGAAAGAATAGCTGCCAACTCTAGGAGGTGACAGAAATTAGGGAACCACGTCTTGATGATGAACTCCCTTGCCTCCTGCCAAACTTCCTGGGGCCACACCAAGAAGCAGCTACTAATTAAGAACACAATCCAAAAACTGAGGGAAAAAATGACTTCTTTAGATTTATATTCTTCTATGAAGTACAAATGCTAATTCAGTAAGTCATTATATGAGAAAAAGACCATCTCAAGTGGTACCCTATTTTATAAACACTAATTATTCCCCCAAGTCTGGATTTCCTGGAAGTCAGATGACTCACAACTAGTCTTGTCTTCCACTTTTCCACTTAAAAGGTTGACCTATTCCCAGTCTCAACTGGGGGAATGTATAGAACGCACACACACACACAAAAAAAAAAATTGAAACCATGGGTGCTCTACCATTGAGCTACATCCCCAGTCCTTTTCATTATTTTTTGTTTTGAGACAAGATCCTGTTAAGTTGCCCAGATGGCCTTAAACTTACAATCTTCTTGCCTCCCAAGTCACAGGTTTACAGATGTGTGTCACCACACAAGGCACAATAACAAAATTTATCCAACACTTTGATACCAAAAATTCTGATCTCTGCTCAATGATTACAAAAGAATGTTGCCTATTAGTTCCCATAGTCTCTGCTGTGAAAAAAAAAAAAGTATATCAGATGTTTGTTCACTGAAACATATTGTCTTTCATCTAGACTCAGAAGCTAGACATCTGATTTTAAAAAGAAAAAGGGTCCATGCCTACGCCTACTAGCCAACCTCCTGGGCCCAGCCATCTGACATGGTTGTGAAGATGAATCTGCTGAAAAGATCCAAGCAGGGCAAGAGGAAACGGGTGTTCAGAAGGAGATGGATGACTTCACAACTTCCAGTAGCATCATCACCCATGCTTTACCCCAAGAGTCGTTTTTGTCCTCAGGCTAGCTGAGACATATGGGCCTCTTTTTGTGCCTCTTCACATTTTCCCCATGGTTCCAACTGGGGGCCAGGAATCATCACCATTTTAAGGATGGGCTGCATAGGGGGCACCCATGGAGGGGCCAATCTTGTCATGCATTCTCCAGCTCCCACAGGAGTTCACCAGGTGTTTTTCAAACACAGCATTCTCCAAGACAACCTTGAGCACACCTTCTTTTCCATATATCAACTGCCTAATGCAATCATAGATGGCCTTGTGTGTGCGTACAGTAACCTGGCCACACATGTTGCTTTGGTTCACCATTACTTGAGCAGTGAACCTGAAGCACCTGGGCCGGCTCTAAAGATTCCACAAAGCCCCAGCAGACAGTCTTATACTTGATATTACAGACCACATCCAGAAAACAGTGTTCAGTTACCAAGGCTTGAAGCCAGTCATGGTGTGAGTTGCTTAGACAAAGGTGAGCTTCTATGAAAATATCCTTAGCTTTTTCAGGGAAGTTCTTTGTTTAAAAATTAGCATCAATTTCTTTTATGTTCTGGATTGACAACTGTGAGTCTGCATTTTTATTCAAACGCTCAGTTGTCTGTTTCAGTCCTTCCTTTGAAAGAAATGACATTTGAGCATTTCCCTCAGGAGGAACATAAGCATCAAAGATACCAGCTGCACAGGCCACATACGTGCCTGGGACATTCGAAACATTCTAGGGGAATCCTGCTTTCCAGGCATGTTCTATAAACTCCTTTTCTGTTTTGCATTTGGGTTCATAAGCAAGTGGTGTCAAACGTTTTTTAGTTCTTACTGGAACTTCAGCTCTAGACTGAGTCCCCAGGACTGACTGCCGAGACCACCATCCCAAAGCTTTGGAGAAGCAAGACAACCTCCAAGGCACTGGGGCTGCCATTTTGTTCACAGCCCTCCTTTACAATTGTTTTGGTTAGATGTTTCAGTCACAGCAGCAAAAAAAAAGCTGACTAAAACAGCTTCACCCCTGAATGTGTCCTCTGATGTGCAACAAGGTGTGACTCATTGCCAAAACCTTGCCCACACTCAGTGCACACGTAGGCCTGCTCTTCTGTGTGTGTCTTATGGTGTCAAGGTGATGCTGAGTCAAGGAAGACACTCTGTGAAACACTTCCCGTAAGTAAAGTCTTTGCCTGGAATGTGCTTTTTGTGTGCGTGAGCAGCTTCGTCCTCAGACTGTAGTCTTGTCCAACCTCCACACAATCCAGTGCTTCCCATCTTAAATTTTCTATTTCTTTAAATATCTTCCTTATTTCCTTAAGATATGCCCTTTGGACCTGGCTGGGCTCCATTTCTGCCACTGTGTTTCTTTTTCTTGAGATGATTGGTTGTCTTTGGGGTGAACTGGAATGCCTTTGAAGGCTGCCTTTCCCTTCTAAACAAGTTTTTAGACCCTTCTTTATCTTCTCCTGCCTCACTCTGACACTTTTGATCAGAAAATTATTGCTGAGTTGCATTGGATCCACTGGGCAAGGACTCCTGGTTTGCCAGTGGCTTTCTACATATGAACAAGGAGACATCTGAGCAGGATGATTGTACAGCATGGGATTGCAGAGGAAGTGATGACTGGAGAAGACCAGCGGACAACAGAAACAGAGATGGATTTCTGCCTCTGGTTCTGGTGAAGAAAAAAAGGTTTTAATCAGAATAGTCTAAAAGAGTTGAAATAGCAGGACCTTCAGCCTTGTGTTAGTGTGACTCTATCAGCTTCATTTTTCATTACTACAACAATACACTTGAGGCTGAGTAATTCCATAAAGAAAAGAGGTTTACTTAGCTCACCATTTTGGAGGTTTGAGGGCATAGCCTGGCATCATTGTGGCTCTGATGAAGACTTCATGGCACATGGCACATAAGAGCAGGACTATAAAAGGGAGAGATCACACTGCAAGATAGGAAACCATAGGGCAATTTAGAGTTCACATTCAGGCTCTTGTAACAACTCATCCTTGTAAGAACTCACTTCAGGAGACCACTCTTTCCTTCTGAGGGCAGGGCCCTCAGAAGCTGCTCACACACAAAAAAAAAGCACCCCTCAGGTGACCTCAGCATCTTCTAATAGGCTCCACCTCTTAGAAGATCCATCACCTCCTATAATGTCACACTGAGGACCAACTTTCAATACATGGACCTTGGGAGAGAAACCATATCCAAACCAAAGCAACCACAATACAGCAAACACTTCACCTCCCAAAAAGAATTTCCTTACCTGATTTACCCTTCCATTCCAATTTTAAACATTACATCTGCTTTTGTAAAACAGAGGATACACACTACAAACGGATTTCTACTACTATAGTTCTCCTTTCTATACAGCAGCTGGAGTATGTCTAAAATGTAAGCCATATGGTGCAACTTTCCAGCTCGGATGCTCCACTGGTCCCCTTCATATTTATTACCAGATATCTTAGCAAGTACAGCCCTGCATACTCCCTTCATTACTATGACCTCAACTCCCTCCACCTTTGACTCACTTGAACCTATACTGACTGAGCTACTCTCTGATAGCTCCATTTAGATGGCAGAAACAATTAAAACCTGCTACTGTTGACTACATGAAAAACCAAAGTGAAAAGAGAAACAATAAACTAACAGAATATACCACTGGAACATGGGACTATAAATACGCTAATTATTTGGAGTATTAAGAAAAATATTCCAAAATTTGTAAGATGTGTAAGTGTATAAATTTCATGTCATCCACAGCGTTTCTAATTCTCTGATTATTCAGAGAATGCAGCTGTTTTTAAGTCTGCCAGTCTTGTAAAGTTATCTAGGTGAACTTACAGCTGTCTATTTCGATGCTATTCAAATAAACCCTAGACTCTTGAACCTGCACTGATACAGTTTTTTCCCTCTGCCAATACCCTCATTTATGAATTAAACAATCTTGATTGATCTCATCAAGATGAGAATTGTGTTTTAACATTTTGACACTGATATTACATTAAGTAGTCATATTCTGGGAGACTGGTGGCAGGGAAGACCCTCTTTTTTGATTCACTACCAGACAATTCAACAAGTGACTAATTGGGGGATGTGAGAAGGGAGTGCTACAGATAGGATCTTTGTGTCTTCTCAAAACTTCACAGATTGAAGCCCTAACTCCCAGAGGATGTGGAAGGAAGGCCTTTGGGAGGTCACAGTCTTAGAGGAGGGCTGGGGTGTTGTTCAGGGGCAGAACACATGCTTAGCTTGTGAAGAGCCCTGGTTTCAATCTCCAACACCCAAAAAAAAATAGATCTAAAGAAGATTTACGGTGAACCTCTTGAGATAGGATGGCTACATGTCCTTATAGGAATAGGAAAACAGACCAGACTGCATTCACACTTATGTTGTTTGTTCACTGACCCACCACCACCACCACCACCACCACCACCAAATACATACCCTACTTGAGATCAAAGAAAGAAGGCAGCCATTTTCAAGCCAGGATGAGGATCCTCACCAGGAATCAAATGTCCAGAACCCTGACCTTGGACTTCCCAGTATCCAGATCTGTGGGAAATAAATGGGTGGTGTTTAAGCCACCCAGTCTGCTTATATAGCAGCCTGACCTGGCCAAGGTCAGGTTATTTTTTCTAATCCCTGGAACCAACCATATATCAGAGAAAAAACAGAGACCTCATGCAGGTGAGAACTCAGTACAAGCAGCTCCAGGTCTCTTAATGGGTGTTTTTGTTGTAGTTGTTGTTTGTTGTTGTTTTTTTCCCCTGGAGGGAGTAGTGTGTACAGGTAGGTAGAGGCAAGAATTGAGAAAATATTCCATAGTCTGAATGAAACTGCTTCACACAGAGAATGTTTTTGAAAAGTCAATAACTATAAACAAGCAATCTGCTAATCTTTTTCATACAATCCATTTACATGCAGTTTTTAGAAAAGGAAAAATCAATGCATATTGAACAAAATAAGAACAAAGGCTGCTTCTGATAGACATAGGGGAAAAATGACTATATATAGTGGCACAGAGGAACTTTGCTAGGTAACAATAATTGATCTGTATTGTGACAGGGCCTCAGATTACACAGGTCTGTGTACATATAAGATATCACATAAAGTTATACTTAAGATTTGCACATTTTGCAAGGTGCAATGTAAAATGTACATTTTATAGGTGCTCACCTGTAATCCCAGCAATTCAAGAGGCTGAGGATGCAGGAGGGCAAATTAGCCTGGGCAAATTAGTGAGATACTCTCCCAAAAAAGGGGGGGAAGGGGCAGGGAACCCAGCACCCCTGGGTTCCCTCAGTACCATAAATAAATAGAGGAAGATATCAAATATCCATGGATAATGGCAGCCAACTAAATCTGGATCTACACAATCTTCCAAAAGGCTATAATGATCAGTAAAAACAGATAAACCCCTAACTGACTCCCTAAGAATAACAAAATAAAGAAACGTACAAATGATCAATTATGGATAAGGA